CACAGGGACCGCGGTTCAATTCCCCAGCACCACATGCCAGCCAGCCCCGTCCCCTGGTGGGCTGAGCTGGCCACACGCACACAGTAAATCAATCAATCAATCAATCAATCAGTCAGTCAGTCAAAGTAACACAGCTCTTTGCTCCCACGCATGAGTGTATTTGCGAAACTAGTTGCTTCCTGTTGTGTGGCCTGGAGAATCTCGGTTGAGACAGCATAGTGATGCTTTGGTTTAGTAACATCGAATGCAAAATAAATTTGGGAATGCTGTTCTGTGCTTTATACACTCTGAGATGTATTTTTTTTCTATTTAGAAGTTTGTATTGTCTGTTATTTTGTGTTTGTAAGCTTTGCAGCAGGTTTTGTCTAAAAGCACAAAGATTTTGAAATAGTTGGTCATGAATTTGAGGCGGTACTGTCACTAAAAGATCTAGGGGATGGGGTCTGAGGAGAGATGGCTCAGTAGGCCTGAGTTCAATCCCCGGTTCCGAAAAAATATAGAGAGATGGGGGGGCTGCTGACTGAGGTAGGAGGCATTGATTAATGGTTACCAGAAGAACAAAGAACAGGTTGGAGAGATGTAGATTAGAGGGAAGTGCTTTCACATCTAAGAAGTAAAATAGTGCAGTGTGGTGGTCCGTTTCTCCTTCCAGGGCACTAAATGGGGGGGCCTTAGCATCAGCTGGCTGCTCATCTCAAGTGAGAATGGAGACAGTTTTGTTAAGTCATTGCACAAGAATGTGGAAGGTTGGAAACAGACAAGTACTTATAGGTAGTCAAAACCAAGAGCAAGGTGTCCATGAAGGCAAAGATTTGAGGTGACATTATTACATTCAGTGCCTCTGGAAAGAAACACTTTTTTTAAAAAAGGATGAACAAAGGCCCATTAGCTCAGTTCCAACACAGCATCACTTGGTGCAGAACACACTGCGCTGAGTAAAATACAGCACCTGTCAAATAGGCAAAGAGGACTCAAGCACAGTGTAGCTGATAATACGGAACCAGTAGAAGTATGGGGCGAACTGTGCGGTCCTGCCTTCAAGTATGGATTTGAATTTCCTCCAGCAAGAGGCAAAGGGAAAGGATACTAGAAAACTGTAAAAGGGATAAGAATGCTAACATTTCAGTAAGTCAGGATTTTGTCAGTTCACTCATGTCCTGTGACACTGAGCTCAGAACGAACAGAGGTTGACTTCACAACTATTTCATAAATTAAATGTTTAAGCAAGCATTTCCTGCTTAATAAGCATGTAAGTGCTTTTGCTGGTGTCTGTGAGTGGTTTTCAGAAGGAAAAAGTGGCTGTTCCCCTGTCTCTGGCCCATAATTCTGCTTTCTGAAAAGGCAAATAATTTAAAAAATACATGCCGTTGATTGAGCAAGTGAATTTGCTGAAAGGTGGATTTGATTTTCAGAGAAGAACTCAGTAAAAACCAATCAACAGACTGTGACTCTGAAGAGCAATTATGCAGCATTTTTAGAGATTTCATCTGAACCTGGGTAGAAAGAATAATTTTACAACTCTGATGAAATAAATAGTCTCCTTTGGCAGTATTTTACAAGCTCCACAGTTTAAGGAAAGCAGGGACAAGATAATGATTGCTACGTGTATGTTGCTCTAGCTCCATAAATTACAGGCACTAAGATTTTTAAATATCGATGTTGTAGACCATGGTATCATAGTTTATTTTATCTGTTGCTTAAAAT